AATCTGTCACGTAAAGCGAAGCAAGCATTTTATCTGGCATCAGCTTTAGGATTGTTCATAATTATTTTCGTTTATCAAGACTTTTGACATTGATGTTTTCTCCGCAGTTTTTGTAACTATCTGGTGTTTTTGTTTCTTTAATTTTCGTATTTTCATTGCTAGGAGTGATTTTTGTTTTTTGTTTTCAGTTATCAACTTTTATTAATGAGCATTTAAATACTTGTCGATAAGAATCGATACAGCGCGCAGCAACATGGATGTCTCTAAATTAGCGAGAAGCATTTCACTTGTGCATTTACGTGAGATATTCCATTTCTTTCTCCATTTCGCGTATGGTTATCCAATTTTTAATTTATGGTTTAACAAATGTCTGATTATGAAAGTGTTAAAAAATTTAATCGTACGCTTTCCTTTGTAAAGGATTGTTTTTGTCCATAGCTTATATATACAATGGTTCAATTGAATAAGCATTATTATCTTTCTTCTGAACTAGACCTGCGGGGAACCCTAACATGCGGAACATAGGTTAGGTATATCATAGTCGGGTGTGGATAAGTAATGGATAATATACTGACCGTAAAGTAATGCGCGTTTCGCGCTGTTCTTGGAGCTCTTCCTCTGTAATGGTTAGTGGCTGAGGGACAAAACAGAGCTGCTCACTATTAGGATACTTACAGATCAGATATTCATACTGACTTCCAAATAACAGACGGCCCTTAGTATTCTGCAATACAGCACGGAGAAATCAATCAATAAGAACCAAAGTAGTGTGATCGAGAATAGTTTATGCGGTACATCAATGATGGGAAAAAGAGAAACCCGGCGTTTCAATAGCCATATGAAGGTAGTAGGGTTCTCCTAGTTTTATCTGGGATATTAAGTAGCTACATATATTAACTGGCTTGTCCGTTGATATGTTCCTATAGCCGAGGTTAGAGCTATGTGTCTCCTTCTCCGGCTCTCGCAGAGGACATTCACACTTGATAATTATGCCCTGAATGGAAACGTCAATATTCTCCAGATACTCGTCATTGGAAGTCGAACAGGAACTGCGTTGTCAGCATTATACTATGCTCATTCACAATCTGGACCTAGCAATGTAGGTGATACGCCGGCAACGTCAAAAGTAACACCACAGCTGTCCTGATTACTGTGTTGTGGCACGTCTGTAACTTTATTGTACTACTTGTCGTTACGCCGTCCCTTGAAGATATTGTTGGAAATCGAGAGCAGGTTGTCGAAAGTAGCGTCAGCAAGTTTCGGGTTATTTACTGTCGGAATTGGTACGCGATCGACGTTAGTTTTGGCGCCATTCTGCCGTAAGCTTATGTCATCTACTTAAGTATAGGACAATTTGGGGCAGAACACATTGGTTATCATTGTTATGTAGCGTTTGCCGTTGACAGTGATGGCCTCACCTATGCGGTTTTCAAGGCAGTACGAACCAATGACACCGGTGGCCCCAAATCCGAACCAAACCGTAACCTTGTTGTGCAACAATTTCACTAAGGAGCCCCCATTTTGACAATAAAATTTTATAGTTTAGGCGAGGTGCTCAATGGTGAAACTTATCATGATTAATTGGCATCAGTGACTGAAAAACCTCGCCGCCAGAGGGCGTCAAAATCTACCCGCGCCAATTGAAAAACCCTTTAGCGAGTAGAATTGGTTGCCGAGAAAGATGAGGCTCGTTACTGTGAATAAGCGAGCTAGATCAATTTCAATAGCAGTTTCCGCCGACAATGAACTCTACGTACCGAAATGATTTTAGTTTGATTTAAGGACTATGTCCTGGATGGGAGGGGTACACATATCATCTAAGTGGACTTCTGTGACCGCCGAGTTAACTACTTGAGATCAGCTTATTCAGCCCGCTGGATCAGCAAGTTGCTTGCGCACAATGAGCAAACAATGAGTCCAAGATTAGTTTAGGTTAGGAAGGCGCGTACGAATAAATGATTTCAAGTTACTACAAAAAATACTAAAGGTGCTCGCTTTCTGTTAGTACTCCTACAGTCGAGGTTATGTCACTTTTCTAGAAAAAAATGTCGATGAAACGTACTTTGAACTCGTCTCATCAGCAATATATTTAATTATCAAAAACTAACTACTAGCTACTAACAATGAAAAAGCACCACCAACTCAATACTACCCAGCCAACAAAAAATCCTAAAACCGATCCGAAAAGGGAAAAAAAGTGGATGAAGTGCGGAGTTTTTTCCGTTTACCAATTCCATTTTCGGATACTTTGACGATCCGTTTTCCCACTAAAGTGTGCGGCAGAAACGTATGTACGGACAACTACCGAAAATTGTTTGTGAACGGATACTTTTTCGGCTGTTTTTTCTGAAATTTTTCGTGCAATACGCTTTCTTTCTGCACTTCGCAGATACTTTTTCATGGTTCAAAAAAATAAAATAAAATAAAATTAGGAAGCGCGTCTGACGGAATTCGAACCCGGCACCTTCTGGAAGCTAACAAATAGCGGCACGCTCTTCTGCACGCTCAGCCACTGCCGACCATGCTTTCAAATGTTTAGCTTAAACACATAAAATACAATTATAGCTTTCAAATAACATCATCTTTTTCGAACGCTTCGAACGTTTTCCGGATCGAAAATTAATGATAACTGTAGTTGTTTTCTATTCGTTTCCGGATACGTAAAATTGTACTAGACTGCACTGTCGGCAAAATTGACGTTTCATTGCTGGCTGGGTAAATATGAAATCAAATACCACCTATACATACAGTCGCACACTTTTACATGCAGTATTTCTGTAAAACAGTGAAACGCAATCGTGCTACTAAGCCATGCATTTGGACTCTGGACAGCCAACAGCAAGTGACGCATACCCCATATACGATATCAATAGATATGAAAGAATAGCTATGGAGCGGACTTTGGCATAAAAGCTGAAATTTCGAAATTTGCATTGATGGCTAAGTTGGCGACAGCAAAATGACGGCGATTTCAAAGCGCAAAGTTCTTATATTTATTGCTTGCAATTACTAGACAACTCTAAGCGAAGCTAACCTTTGGAACGCTTAAAGTGGCAAGAGCAGAAAAGCATTGTTTTTAGAATGAAAGTGTAGGAGGTGAGCAAGCGCCAGTTGGATAGGTTTGGCGAGGCTACCAAAATGTGTTCGAAATGGTTGGAGAGGAAAAAACTTGCGCTAAAGCTAGAAACAATAAACAGAGGAGAAAAAGAAAAGGTTCGCAATATTTTGGTGATAGATAAATATATGTATATGTATAACGATCGACAGCTGCGCACCACTGCCTCTGCCGCTGTCGCTGCCGCTGTCGCTGCTTGCGTCACTTTTGGTACTTCAGTTGTGCGGCTGTAGTTGTAAGCGATTTTTATTGCATTTGTGTGTGAGCGCAGCGCACTGATAACACGACGCGCTTTAAGTGATCGACGGCGACAATATTGCTCAGTATCAATAATTTTTTTTTTTTTTTTTTTTTTCGACTACACATAAGAAAGTGCAGTAAAATATGAAATGGAAAATAAATATAAATCGTAAATAAATACAACAGCAAGCATTTCAGTATACCAAATGTAGATAAGCGTTTACTTGTATTGCGTTCGACAAGCATTGATCGCATTGGCAACAACGCAGCCAGCCAGCCAAACAAGCAAACGCCAATAACTACTTCATACTAAATATTTACTAGGCATACCCGCTATCAGCAACATTTTAGGCGTTCAACGCCTCTTAGAGACCGCCAGCGTACGCTATGAATTACACAGCGCGCTTGACCGCGCAGCCTGGCCTGGCAACTACTCAGCTTCGAGACGCGTCGCAGTCAAACGTCGCGTCGATCGTTGATCGTCTTTTGAAACATTCATCAAAACGGCGGCGAGTCGAACTTGCAAGGCTCCAAAACCGTAACGCGAAATTCAGTTGACTCAAAAGTGGTGTCGGATGTGGAAGTGAATTTTGAAAACTTCTACAAAAAGAAAAACAAATAATTTTGTGAACCGTTGAAATTCAAAAACCGAATTTAAGCTGCTACATTCTCGTGTGTGGCAGAGTAGAATAAAGCGCCGCTTTTAAAGGAAAATTCTCACACAAGGCAATTTAGTTTGCATTTGCAGGTGATTACATACAAATTTGCTGCGTTTAAATTAAACACATAACGGCACGCATGCACGGCCAGGCAAAGTGATCCTCAACTGATCGTCGTAAACAAATTACGAGTATTTACATACTTTTGAAAATCACGCGCTTTCTTACTTACAAGCCGCCCTTATTAGAGCTGTAATTTTGCAAAATTCTAAAATTATTATCAAGCCGCGTGCGTGTGCTGTTAGGCCAAAAAATCTCTCTAACATTCAGTGGTGCAAAATTTTTACATTTCCAATTCTTCGCAGTAACCAGCCACAAGCAATCTCAGTCAGTCACACACAGCGCACTTACTGCAAATATGTCCAACGCCGTAAATAGCGAGGAAGCGTTCAATATACGCGTGAATTACTTGCAGCCCGAAACAGTGGAAATTGCCAAAAATGAGCTACGCGAAACACCCGAGATGAAGGAGGCCGCGATCAAGGAGCTGCGCGAACTCTTACATGCTGCCACAGATATAAACTACAAGGATGATGATGAATTTCTGGTGATATTTCTGCGCGCTTGCCACTTCTATCCACAAAGTGCACTCGAAAAGGTAGGTCATTGTTGATGACAAAAAAAACAAACAGAGCAAAAGCAAAGCAACAAGAAAATGCAAAATACAGCCAAAAAAGAAATAAATAAATAAATTTAAAGTCAAAAAAAAAAAAATTAAAAAATAACTAAAACAATGCCAAAATCAGCGCCGTGTATAAGAAATGCCCAAATTTAAAATATGCAAATTTTTGTAGTGTACGTTATAGTAAATACTTAAACATGGCGCATGTGCATACATACTAAATAGTTCTCGCAAGCGAAGGTGACGACGGTAAATTAAAAAAAAAAGCAAAAATAATGCAAAGCTTTGAGAATTTCGATAGTCTGTTTCTTTTTTATTCTTTACAAGGCTTAATTGTTTAAGTTTTAAATAATGTATACAGTGAACTGCAAAAGTGTTCAACTAGCACTAAAAACTTTGTTTTATAAAAATCAGTTACGAAGAAAAGTATTTTTGTTTCGTCAGATAAAAAAAAAAAAAATTTGGAAAATGTCGTCTAAAACAAATGAGCAGCAAAGTAGCGCCTATCTCAGAGATCTTCTAGGAAAATCATTACAAAAGAAATTTGTTTAGAGTAACAGCTATCATAGATTTTCCTCTTTTTTGGGGCTACATTTTTTGAGATTTTTTTTTTGGTGACTGCTTTTACGGTTTTTAAATTTACAAAAACTTGCCTTGATTTTTTTTTTTAAATTCTGTTGCGATTGGTCTTCTGCACTTTATTTCAAAAGAAATTTACGCTTATATGAAAAAAGTGCAAAAATCCCTCGTCAAAAAAAAAAAATTATTAAAACTGTATACCCAAAAATTATATAAATATTCAGATAAAAAGCTCGAAAGTTTGATGAGAACTTGTAAAATTTTCCTAAATCTTTTATAAGGTTTGAAGCTTTAATTTATATGGTTTTCGATAAAGCTTGGACAAAGCTTTTACAGCAAAGTAACAATAAAAATTCAACTTAAAAAATCTTATGAATAATGAAAAAAAATAATCAACACCTGGACACTTATTTGAGTCACTGTATATGTAAAAATATGCTTTTTTTTATTCCCTTATTTTAAAATACGTTATTTTAGCTTTCGAAAGGGAAACCGGTGGGTTCAAACACCGCCAATTTGAATTTGACTTTTGAAACAGGTGGCAACCCGCTTCAAGCACCTCAATTATATTTGCATATTTAAAACGCTGCAACTAAAAATTTCTTAACACTTCTTCGTATGCCACATATATTTTAATATTTCATATATGTTTATAACTTTTGTACAATTTAATAAAATTCGACTTTACAAACTGGTAGCAACACACTTTAAAATATTTTCAAGCTAAAACCTTCTTAAAGCTCTTTCGTCTGACACCCATATTCTGATACATATTTCGATTAGCTGATTCTCTAATTCAAATGGAGTTTGAATTTTTAAACAGGTGGCAACCCTCCTACGTGCAGTTTAGAAATAAAACCTTTTCAAACTCATTTCGATTGATACTCATATTGTAATAATTCATTTAACTGATTTAATAAATTGAGTTAAATTTTTTGTCTGCAAAATCTAGTTCGGCGGAGCTGAAGGTTGCGCTCCAGGTCACTCCGCATAGCCGTATTAGTCTTGCGCGGATCCCAGATTTAGACAGGCTGCTTCTTTATGTGCTAACAAAAATGGCATTAAAATATACAAAAAGAAAATTAAGTAGACTGCACCAAATTGCACTTAACGGCAGGTACACCAGCCTGATCAGCTCTTCGTGGCCTGATTTAAACAGCTCAACCAGGCTTTGTTGGTTTGAGAAACCATCTTGATCGAGAGAAAGGACTTGAGTATCATTCCTATACATTGGTCTAGGTTCTTCTTCATCAAACGCACAACCTAAATACGTCGCCATCCAAAATCGTTTCTTCCTTTCTCGTTTGAACTCTGGACGTCTATTTTCCAGACTTGCTTCATTCATACTTCATCCTAATTTCCAGACCTTACCCATGTATGTCACAAAAATGGCTATCAAGTACGATCGCAGAATAAAAATAACAAATCCAATGTATCGATCGAGGTTTGGTGAGGTTATTTATCTTCACTTTCCTCATCCGGCATTATGCGCAGCATGTCGTCACGGACACATTGTGCTACCGCAATAACAGTTCCTTATATTATTTTCTTCCCTAGAAGTGAAACCAAGTCGTCGTTCTGTTGAAGATCTCAAAATCTTAGACGCCAGCGCTCAATAAAATAGTGAGTGAATGAATGTGGCGGCCATCGGTGCGTACAGTAAACATCACCCTGAGAGACGATACCTGTCGGGAAACAAGTCCACAGAGCGTAAGGCAATGTGTGTAGGTCAGCTTCCTAATCGGAACCTTGTATCATTTCATTTTATCAACCCGCTTAATTTAACTGCAGAGGAGAAGATTTATGTGTGACCTTATCCCAAGATATCCTTTAAACATCCCGATCTTTTACCTGGTTCTTAGTCTGACAGCCAATATGCCAATGTTTGCGCAAGAAACAGAAGGTACGTCATGCTAAGAAACTTTTCACTGGTGTTTTTTCCTGAATCAACCTCCTTCGCTTTGTAAGCACGGCAATCATTTCCCACTTTCTTAGAAATCAGGAGATAGGTCTGAGACTCGTCTTTACTTTAGTGTTGTACATACTTATATAAATTTTTCATTAGTTCATGATAATGCAAGGAGGTTTTAGCTCACGACCCAAATAATGAAAATACGTTTTACTACTTCTTACTCAAGTAAACTTTTAAATTATAGTTTGATGCGCTCATATATACATACATATATACATACATACAAATGTAAGTTTTGATAATTTTGTTTGTTACTTTTCTCGCTCACTATGTATACGTGTACTATTTTTTGTTATATAGTACATACATATGTACATATTCCTGCTTGAACACGTACTAATCGTAATCTAAATTTAGTGTTTTTGTTTTATTGCTGTTATTTTGTGGAGCATTTATTTTATAATTTTTGTTTTTTTTTATTAATTTATTTTACCCTTCCGTATTTTTTTTAGTTATTCTTCTTTGTCGTTAAACGGAAGTAAGGTCTCTAGAAATACATAATTACGTATAGTTTCATCGAATTTGAACTGTGAAAATTCGTATATAATTTGTCTGGTCCCACTTTGGAATGAGTTCACTGTCGTAGACAATTAAACAAAAATTTAAATAAAATACAATCTCAGAAGTAAAAGTATGCATTTTATAATAAAAGCTACAACAATTTAGTAAACTTTTGACTTTTATAACTTTGAGCAAGAAATGTCGATTGCCCTTTACTTTTCATTTTGTAAGGCAAATTTTCGGTTAATCGGTTTTTTCTTCGCTTTGTATCAAATATACATTAAAAAAAAAAAAAAAATCATAGTAAAGTTGTAAAAGGACTTTTGCACCGAAAATTCGCGAAAGGTCCAGAAAAATCTCCCAAAATGTGAAATACGAAAAATTCCAAAAGGTATTGAAAAATCTCAAAATAACGCCGGAAAGTAAGGATCAAGGAATCGCGAAAAATACGAAAACATCCTAAGCACCACCGAGAAAATCGGCGAAAAGTCTCGAAGAAACCCGAATAATCCCGACGAATGTCATATTACTATCAATGCTCAAAAGATATGTAAAAAATAAAAGTCATCAGTTTTTCTAGCTCAAAATGACAATGGTGATTCTTTTTTTAGTCATGAGCGTATCGTATTCGACAATAAGAGCGAATTCGAAGGCATCTTCGCAAAAACAGTATGCGAATTTTTGCAATGTATTTTTTATTAAAGTCTCTGGTTTTAATATATCTACGAAAAGCGAATACTTAATAGGGCTTGGGCTATACGTATATTCGGATATCTGATTATCCGTATGGTTATTTGTGTAAACGGATAAAATCCGAATGTCAATTTAATATCCGTTCATCTTGTTGTCCAAATATCCGGTTAATATCCGCACATTTATTTATCCGGATATTCTAAACAGTTTTTGAATCTCCGGTCTGTACTGCTTGTGGGCCCAAAACCTGAAGACTCTGAGTCAGTTATTGGCTTGCCATTTTTTTCAGAAAAAGCCAGAGCAGTAAAACGAGAGATGTGAATTTATACAACTTAAAGGTCTGATTATGGCAACTTAACGTAACTTAAAAGCTGTCACTTGAAAATTCTCTTGAATGAATGTTGCTTACATTTGGACAGGCGAAACTTAACATAACTTAACGCCACGTCAAAGTCTGTTTCATTTTGATTTTCTCAGCTCTAAGTTACGTTAAATTAAGTTAAGTTGCCATAATCAGACCTTGAGTCGTAAAGGCGGATTCAGAACTTCGTAGAAATCTTCTAATTAATATAAAATCGTATATTATAAAAAGTTTCACGCACTCAGAAAATTATGTTCTGTTTGGGCAATACTTAAACATTAGCATGTTTATTTATATTTAATGTAGTTTCTTCTTTCGCTTATTTTGTGTTTTTCTGTCTGCCACCACAGTTTGCGATAAGCTGGCAAAATTCAATAAATCAATCCTGATAGAGTGTCATAGTTACATAAATGTCGCAAACTAAATATGTACGCATGTATGTGCATTAGACCGTACCACCTTACAAGTAAGCAAAATTAATGTTCGCCGTACACAACTGAGACTAAGAAATTTTTGCAAGCCGCTTACCAAAAAACATGTTTTTTCGCCAAACCTAGGGTGACACTTAAATAATTTTTTTTTTTTAATAGTTCTTTTGGAATAATCGAAATACTCCCTCAGCAAATGTTAAATGCCGAAGTTATGATGGAAAATGTACTCGTAAAAAGACGAAAAAAAAATCGAGATTACTTTGCAAAAATGCTACACACTCAGGCGTTTGCGGCGAACTATTTTCCGGTACGATCTAATGTACATATATACATATGTGCATTGGCATGAAATAAATTCGAATATATGTATATAGTCATATAGCAACGCTAAAAGAAGAACTAAAAGAAGAAAGTTCAAAAGATCGGTTTATGACCGACC